GGTTGTGTCGGGAAGGTGAGCATCATAGAATGTCAATTTAATAGAACACAATATTCTTGCATTGAGGGAGTACTTGAGTGGAGGCCCAGTGTCCTTCTGCTACCTTAATGGTCCCGTGTTTTTTCCATAATTAGCTGATTACCTATATTTACTTATGGATTTAATCCCCTCTTTAGATGAAATTTCATGTGACAGCCACCCAAAAAGTGGAGTAGATGAAAGTTGGGACTCTCTGGTTGTTGTGGGATTTGAGAACACAGGGTGTCTCTTTGAATCTCTGTGTGGATGATTGCCCCGAATCACACTATCTTAGTCATTTACTCAGTAACCCTTTATTGGGGACTGTAAAATGACGGGCATGATAGCATCAGAAATTGTTCCACTTTAGGGGGGCTAGTGAATGGCCAAATAATCTTCCCAAAGCTGATTCCTGGGGGGTGGGGGCACAAACATAGCTCCCCTCTCCAACCTTTTCACCAGTTCTGACATCAGCAGGCCCTCCACAGCACTTTCCACTCTTCTGGGTTTGATAGTTCCTTGCAGTGGCCACACAGAACCTAAGACTGTACTGACAGGGAAGTGGCTTATTAATGCAAACAGTAGGGTACAAGTCAGGATCAGGAAGCAGGTGGGCAAAGTCTTGGCCCTTTTCAGATTTTCTCGGTCCTGCCATCCATCACCCTCCGCACAGCTGCTGGGCTTCTCCGGGGCCTGTCTGCAGTGTCAGAGCCCCTTTAGGGGGTTCTTAGCCTCTTTCTCTCACCTTCTTCTCTCTTGCCTTTTCTCCTTTTTGCTGCTTCCTGTCTGATCAAGTTCTGTGGGATTGTTTACACCAGTGGTTCTAAACCTGCCTAATGCCGTGACCCTTTCACACAGTTCCTCATGTTGTAGTTATCCCCCAACTATAAAATTATTTTCGTTGCTACTTCATCACTGTAATTTTGCTACTGTTATGAGTTGGGTGACCCCTGTGAAAGGGTCATTCGACCCCCAAAAGGGGTCTCAACTCACAGGTTGAGAACCGCTGGTCCACACATACATACATAAACTCCTCATCAGTTTTAAGGCACGGCCCCCCCCCCCCAAACTAAACTGAACAGTCTCTTCTCCGGCCGAACACTTGATTTGGGTAGTATATTGACTGGTCCTTGCAAGCTATATAACAATCACAGGGCAGGCTGTAACCCAGGACCAGACTGACAGAATCAAACCACAAGTGTTTAGGGTTTACCCAGGAAATGTTAATCAGCCTGTACCAAAGTAACAAACTACCTGGGGTAGAAAACCAGGGCAAAGGTTACTCCTCAGGGTGTAGAGAGGGTAGGGGGTGGGGAGGATCTTTCAACCTATTTTTTTTCATTGAACCCAGGGCAAATACCACATTGTGATAAATTCATTTCATCATAAAGAGAGTCAGGGACTCTGGTAGGTATGCAGTTTAGAAAATTCAGATCATGTTACTCCGTGCTTGAGTATTACTTGAGTGTTTTGCAACAATATTTATATAGCAAAGAGAAAAGTACGCAGATAATCACTAGAACATCGTTTGTAGTCCCATTATTCAGAGATAGGAGCCACGGTCTCTGCCACCAGGGGCTCCTGCCATCATGAGCAGGACAGACACGTGGGCAGGCCGGAGGAGAGTGGGCCCACAAAGAAGGCTACCTGGCTTAGTGGTTGGCTGGAGGAAGCAGTCAGAGGAGGCTTCTAGAGGAGAGACTTTACATGAGCTGAGCCAGAGGTGGGTAGCGGTAAGCCAGAGAGGACAGCGGGCACTTGAAGTCGAGGATGCAGAGTGCGAGAGCTGGCTGCCGTGCAAGGTGAAGTGGAAGTGTTGACTGAGGGCGGGGTGGGTTTTTCCTAGGAAGGTTTTGAAGCATTTTCAACAGCAGCAGGAGTGACCTGTTTGGATTTGTGTTACAAAGGTCACTCTTAACAGCATGGACAGTGGTTGGGTATTGCAGTTGAAAATTGAGTGTAGTCTGCACTACAGCGATGAGGATGGAGAGTAGAGGAGGAATTCAAGAGACAGCGGAGAGATCTGAATGACTGTCACTGGAGAGTTCGATTTAAATGAGGTAATGCAAGTAATGTGCTTAGCTTAATACCTTAGACATAGTAGGAGCTCAATAAATATTTGCCTGGATGATGATCCCTGTAGACATCTGACATGATGACTCACATTAGTGCAGGCCCCTGTCCTAAGCTCCTGAGGTAAAGGGAGGGCTGGACCTGTCACAGAAGCAAGAGCAGGAGAACAGGAGCTGAGAAGGGTCATTGTATCAATTGCGTGTTTGATTAGGTTAGGCAGGCCAGGTGCTGGCAGCAGTTAGGTCATCCTACTCAGAGAGCCCAGTTTGCCTAAAGTCATGTATCCGGAGCTTATGATGGAAGGAGCGGGACCATTTATGGCCAACTTGCATTTTCCTCTCCAGGCAAACACAGTGCAGCCCAAGCTAAGCAGAGATGAGCAGCGGGGCAGAGGTGCCCTCTTACAGGACATCTGCAAAGGGACCAAGCTGAAGAAGGTGACCAACATTAATGATCGGAGTGCTCCCATCCTTGAGAGTAAGTCTGATCTTCCTTTCCTGGGGTTGAACCACCTTGATCTCAGGATTGACTTGGCTGGGCTCTCATGGATTGTTTTTGTTGAGTCAGGTTGGAGAGTTCTGTCCAGGGATAGCCTTTGGCTCTCTTCCATCTATCTCATTTAAATACCTTAGAAGATTCTTCCTGGTCTTTGGGAAGCATTCTGAAGGTTAAGACTCCCATCTCCTATTCTAACCAATACTTTTTAGGGGCACATCCCTGTTTGTTTGCTGAGCAGATGACCCCCCTACCCCCACACACACGTTCTTAAAAACTCTCAGCTGCAGCCAAGTATGGTTTTATAATCGTCACAAGTGTTCATGCTTGTAGACCTCTCACACCTGGGTCCCTGAGCTATTGGCCTCTTACCTCAGAAAGGAGAGTTAGAGAGTTCTAGAGTCCCAACACCCTCCTACACCTCTTGCTTCCAGTTATCCCTGTGTCCTAACCCAGAAAAGAGGGAGTGCCGCCCTCCTTTATTACTTTTCTCCTGCGTCACAGCCAGGGTTCATTTCCACTCCATAGGTTGCTATGGAACAGAGACCTAGCTTTTTAAATTGTTATTAAATGGAAAAGCAAAAAGCAGGATTGGTTAATTTGAAAATTAAAGCCCAGCTAGAGAAGGGGCTTCTCCTTAGGATTGATTCGACCACCCCCTGAGGCCTATGAAATGAATGCTGAATAGCTGCCTCCTTTCCAGAGCCCAGAGGGAGCAGTGGCGGTCATGTCTCTGGAGCAACTGCCCTGCAGCCCAAGGGAGCACTCTTCCACGGAGGAGTGCCGAAACTCAGACCAGTCGGAGCCAAGGACCTCTCAG